CATAATAGTCGGGTTTCACAAATTTTATAATTAAATTAAGCATAAGTTTTGAATTTACATATTAGGTTCGCTTAAATTTCACATAAATTTTATAATTACTTAAAAACATAATTGCTGAGAGAGGTTACATATATTTCGTAAGTTAAGGTAAAAATAATTATATGTCGTAAGTTAAGGTAAAAATAATCATTAGATTTAAATATATACATATATGTATATCGAAGAAAAACTTAATAAGTCGACATGGTTAGAGGTATATTTGTACAATTGTTGATTGATTGTGCGCTATTGAGTTTGGTAGTATATCTGGTAACAACATAACCTTCAAAAATTAGCGATTTTGTATCAGCATCATATATCTTTTTTCGTGCGAAAATGTCGAGTTTTGAGCCGAATAAACGTCATTTGCGGGAGCTTTTGATTTACTTCTTTAATTTGAAAAAATCTGCAGCTGAGGCACATCGATTGCTTGTAGAAGCATATGGTGAGGCTGCCTTAAGTGAAAGAAGTTGCCGTGAGTGGTAGAAAAATGAGGAAATCGTGATATTTGGTCTTATACTTCAAATAAAACGTTTAAAACTGTTTCTTTTCGATTCCACAAGTACGTGTTTAAAAACTACACATCTTCAGCTACAAATTCCACCCAATGCCGTCTTCGTGGAAGCATTTCCCGTGACGTGAGATCGTTTGTAATGTGAAAGTTTAAATTCAGCGTTTTTTAGGCATATTTCAAATGCCTCATATTTTTTGCCAAAACTCAAAATCGAAATTTCATGTTATAGGTTTTGAAGTTTAGGCTCTAACAATGGAAATTCCACAGCGACCGGTCAATGGAAGTGATAAATTTTATTGATCTCATGAGAATCGTAAAAAATGGCAAAAATCGCGCAACGTTTATTTATTTAACAGCTTTATAGAAACTGACTTCATTTGCGGCAAAATGCAAAAATTGCATACGAAAGCTGCACTCTTCACCTTTAAAATGCATTTTGATTTTTGTCGATAGGACACTCTGATCAAAAGATATCGAATTATTACCGTCGAGTTGATAGAAATTTTATTTAAAAAATTGATTTCGCGCGCGTAACTGACATTCAAAATCACCGGTCGCTTCAAGCGTTGTTTCTGAGAGAACGGTTCATTCTACATGGTTCATTTTACACAAAAAGTGCTAAGAAAAATTTTTGTTCAAAATTATCTCAGCTACATTTCTTGTTTGAAACATTTTTTTCTACGGCGTACAGATTCTTGGGAAATCGATGTTTTCCGTTTTTTCCACCCTACGAGGGTGGGTTTTAGGGGGAAGCCCGGGGGTAGGAGTGGCAAACTTTTTTGCATCTTTTTTGGGATCCCAAAATTGACATCCACAGCAAAATCTAGCTTGTTCGTCTCGTTTTTAGAGGTCAAATCTCTGACGACTGGACTATTCAGTATTTTTTAAAAGTGGCTGACTACAATCGTTGATTTAGCCACACATAGATTTTGAGGGTTACCGAGTGATATAACTTACATTTATTTCTTTATATCAAGATTATATTTCCTCGTCTGACTAGCTGATCGTTGTCGTACCGAAAAAAAGAAGATATATATATCACCGAAAGAAGACATAAATTTTATAATAGGTAAATGTTGAGTTTCATTCATTGTTTGTAAGAATTTACTGATTAGACTGCATATAAGTAAAGCCTGATTCTCCTCTCTCTCTCTCTTTCTCTCCCTCCCTCCTCTCTCTTTCTCTCTCTCAGCCTCTCTAAGTCTCCCTTAGCCTGGATCTACAAAAGATTTTTAAGCTTTGCAGTTCTCGATTTGCTAATAAAAAGTATTTTACTAACTGATTAATCAAAAAATACTCCGAAGCATTCATATCATCAAATGGACCATAGCGTTAAGTATTTCTCACTAAAGTATAAGGTTACAAGCAGAATAAAATAAATAATTATGACGGTCAAATTGTTCTTTTTTATAGTACTTGTGAATTATAGTATACTATCATAATAATTATTAATATAATATTTTATAGGACCGTACATGTGATAACACAAACTATAGGAATCAAAGCCTTATACGGTCTAGCTGGATCTTAATGCTTGTATGATTCTTATGTGAATTTATA